AGCTTGATCGACGTCGTCTGCATAGACCGATCCATACCGAAAGCTTCCATGTCTGATGAAAGGCTAGTTCAAACACACATTTTCACACAAAGCACATGAAACGAGCCGTGGCAGACCCGGTAGTGAGAGAAGTTTTGGCCCCAAAAACGAAATGAAATGTCATATGTGTTGGGGACTGAGTTTGGTGTGTCCAAATGCACGCTTATGCAGTCGGATTCGTTTCGCCAAGAAAGCCTCGTCATAACGTGTTGCCTGTATGATATGTCGCACATCGGTGTACAGGTAAGTCTTGAACAGCATCATTCATGTGGCTATATAATTCCGTTGCACAATTATGTTTGTGACGGCTTGTTGAGTGTATTCTGCATATGGTCAGTAACTTGGCTGCTTCCGAATGTGCATGTTGGTGCAGTGCATTATTTGTGTGCATTTGCCCAGTGCATATACAGTATACCTATATTTTCAATCAACAAAGAATATTCACCCCAAAATCAACCCGTTTCCGGACTGGATTGCCACATGTGTTTCGCTTGAAGGACTTTGTGCCTTGTGCCCGGCGGCTAGCAAAACAGCTGAAGGCCGCTGTTCGTTTTTTGCAAGACATCATGGCTATTAGGTTGGAGGCCATCGTCATTATAGGTTGGCGGCCATCCCTATTAGGTGGGAGTGCTGAAATGTAGGTAACATCAAGCCACACTCGCTCGACGGTGGAAGATCCAAGTAAGAGTTTGCTCAAATCTTGTGGTCTTTTCAATGAACATTGTATAATTACTGTAAACAATTACATGATACATAGTCTTCCAGAGTTGAGCTAGGTAGAGTTTTGCAAGAACCAGCACTTTTGCAGAATTTCCAGCTGGTGATGTGGAGAGATGAGCTGTATTCATTACACAGACAAGCAAAACATTGGCACGTTGCAGCCCTGCAGGAGCAAGAACGCCCAGCCGACTTATTTCCGAACATGGACAACAGAGCGGATGTCTTTCTGGATTGATGGAAAGCAATAAAGGAACAGTCTGAAAGCCCCATCCTTTAAAGGGGCCGGGGCCTAAACGCCTTCCCCTTTGTTTTCTGTCGGATTACTGAAACAGCATTCATGCGTTCCACTAACATCCAATGCGACCTGTGCCATCAACAAGTGTCATATGCTCCTTGGGGTCAGTAGATTTCGGCCAATACGTGCAAGGTGCCGAGATAGTTATTGCGTTGACGCACATGTCATGAGCCTAGAACAGTGGGAGCTCAGGTTTTGAGGGTCTCAATGACTCAACTGCAGCACCAGCACCGACAAGAAGCTATGAGAAAGTGCTTGCCCAGCAATAGTTGTTGGCTCTGTGTCATGTACGGAGAAGCGCACGGATTTCCAGACCAAGTGCCTTTGGAGTTTTGCATCCTCTAGACTTTCACTTCCAGCATCTTCCCAAATGTTCCCTTGTTTCTTGAAGGTGCATACCTTACCTCACCATTTTTTGAGAAGCTTTTCCTATCTGCTCTTCTCTGAGGCGGGTTCCCAACGATGAACTGCTGGCCAATGAGGACGGCAATGCAGGGCAAGCTTGCGTGCGACCTCGAAGCCGCAGCAGGGGGTGATTTGGACACTTCGAGGTCGCCCCAGTGTGATTTTTACTTGACCAATGCCGCCTTACCAGCAGACGAAGGACTGCTAGAGACAATAAAGGGCTTGACATTCGGATTCATCAAATGTTTCAGGAGGATGATGATGTGCTTTCATCAAATCTGTCGAAAGACATATTGTAAGTAGCAGTTTTTTTTTTTTCAATTCTTGATATGGAAGGAGGTAGGCGGCAAGACCAACACAATTGAAGTATGATATACAGGATTCATCACATATTTACTGTAGCCCAAGCACAGACCAAAGCCGCCCATGAAAAAGCAATGCTGAAATGGTACTTTCATGGCACCCTGTGATCCGAGGTTCACCAGTGTAGGCTTACATTCATGGCATCCGTTCTCTGGGGGAAGCCGCTGGAAGGGGAGCTTGAAGTTCAAGGGCCAATGGGGATCTCAAAGAAGACACAGAAAGATATTAGCGTCCGTTACACCAAGCTACTGGACTATATCATGCAAATATATATATATATGTATATATATACAGTATACTGTGTATATTACGTATATATCATATATAAATATTATACTATGTATTGTGTATTATGTATATATATATATATTTATGTGTATGCCATATATATATATATTTAACATATCATATGTTAATACTGGTGATTCTTGG